ACTTAAGCCATCCACAGCCTCAGATCCCTCTGCTTCAGCCACCTCTCTTGTTTATGCTGCATTCTGACATCATAGAGTCTACCTCGCTATATTATTATACTTTCTATTTTTACAAAACATTATTTGAATGTTCTAAAATACATAATTTTCCTTCTCCCAGTTGGCCTTTCCTCATTAACACTGCTATCACCTGCAATGCCATGTTGCGTCGTGGCTAAGATCATCTTTCACATTTAGATCACACACTCCTCCCCTTCAGTCATAGATTCAGGCAGATATATTTAAACTTTACGCCTTGGAGAAAGCTTGTCCACTTTGCCATCAAAGCACTCAATTCCCCAACAGACATTAATGGCATCTGGCAATTTATCATAACAAAATAATAGCAAGTTGTCCTCACATTTTTTCTTTCTATTTATTAGCCTAGGTAAATTTTACTAGTCTAGATTTTTTACTTAAGCTGTTTTTTTTTGTTATTATAAAGAACTTGCTTGTTTATTCTGTAAGTGTGAGCTCTGTTTAATATTTAAAAACACCAGTTCACTAATTCACTCATTTATATACACCTTTAATAATACATCTTATTAGGCATGTATTTATAAAACAATAACTGTTTTACAGAAAACAAAAACTGTTAAATTAGTATTTCCTGATAATCAGGTAGTGCCAAAACACAGTGATTTTGAAAAAAAAAATTAATTAATTTATTATTCCGTAGATTCTCCTCTACAGTATAACCTGCTATGTATGTGCAGAGCTACCAATAATGATGGATTAATAACCATGGAACAGACTCATAGGGAACAAACATCAATAATATTCATTAAACTGACTGAATGACTATATGTAATAATGATAAAATGTATTTTATATGAACTTTCATATTTATATCAGTCGTCATATATTTACTTAGCAAGAATAAAGCTTAGTGGTGGAAATTCAGTTTGTGTTTGTTTGTGTTTTAACTTTGTAAGCACCAAACCAAACTGTTGCAAAATAAGGAAGAGGGACCAGAGCTTTAAACTATAAATGGATTGGCTAAAGAGTAATCTTGCGTTGTTGTCTATTTCTCAAATATGTGTTTTAAGAGTAGAAAACAAGTACAGAAGTTTCATTAAGGTGTAAAAAAAACTGATATACCAGCTCTCTAAGAAAGTCTCGACATCATTGGCAAGTTTTAGTATGGGATAGAACATGAACAGGCTGAAAACGGAGAGCACAGACTGTACTTGTGTGTGCTGCCAGGAAAAATGTAATTTAGTTGGTGGATTCTTTTTTCTTTTCAAGCTTTAACAGCTGCTTTTGTTTTTTTTTCCTTTTGATATCTTTTTCTCAGAGAGGCTGGCACAAGTTTAAGTAGCTGCACTTTAAAAATCCAAATGCCTATAAACGTTACAGATGCATGACTACGCACATTTTCACACTGCTGAATCTCTGTGTGGCAACTCGAGTCAGTGTTATACATGTGAAGGTGTTGATGTTGGCTGTGATGGCAGGGTTGCAGCAGGGGAGATGACAGATCAAATTACATCTCAGTGCCACACTGACAACACACTAACATTTGTTGACAACTATTGGAGAAAAGAGAAAAAACAGCTGCAGAAGATTTCAAAGAAAAATGATTCATACATTATTTAACTTACAAATATGTTGTTTTAATTGACATTAATCAAATTTCTTGGGTTAAGAGACTACTCATATGTGTCCATTGCAAAGAGGAAATAGTTGAACTGTTTATGCTGAGAATGATTTGTTTGTGCAGTAAACTGCATAATGAGTAAACGGTTGACTGAGAAGAAAAATACAAAGTAGACTCTTCCAAAAGCACAGCAAAGCTTGAGCTAAAACAGATGAACAACAAAAAAACTGAAATTTGTTGATGGATAGTTTTCCATTGCAGTTTTATAAAACGTTACATAAAAATACAATATGTTCTTGGGCATATTGTATTTTTTTATGGGTGTTATTCAGCCATCGAAATAAATTGAAATTTATTTATAACAATGCATATACACACACA